CTTGATGAGGCGATGGAGAACACAATGTCCGGCGACCATCCTGAGCACAGGGTACTGACCACGGGCCTCATCGGCACGTTCGACGAGATCCAAGACGGGCGCAGCCAGGTGCCGCCCGGCGACTTTCCCAAGTGGATGCCGGCCACCCAGCGGAGGCTCCTGCAGCTGCCCAGCCTGCAGAAGCCCAACAAGGTGGTGGCCCAGGACGGGAGCGGCGACTTCAAGACCATCACCGAGGCCATCGCCGCCGTGCCCAAGACCTTCGAGGGCCGCTTCGTCATCTACGTGAAGACCGGCATGTACAAGGAGTACGTCACCGTCCCCAAGGACATGGCCAACATCTTCATGTACGGCGACGGGCCGACGAAGACGGTGGTCACCGGCGACAAGAGCAACACCGGCGGCTTCGCCACCATCGCCACGCGCACCTTTTCTGCGGAGGGCAACGGATTCATCTGCAAGTCGATGGGGTTCGCCAACACGGCGGGGCCCGAGGGTCACCAGGCGGTGGCGATGCACGTGCAGGGCGACATGTCGGTGTTCTTCAACTGCCGGTTCGAGGGGTACCAGGACACGCTGTACGTGCACGCGAACCGGCAGTTCTTCCGCAACTGCGAGGTGCTGGGCACGGTGGACTTCATCTTCGGCAACTCGGCGGCGCTGTTCCAGAACTGCCTGATGACGGTGCGCAAACCCGGGGACAGCCAGTCCAATATGGTGACGGCGCAGGGGCGGACGGACCCCAACATGCCCACGGGCATCGTGCTCCAGGGCTGCCGCATCGTGCCGGAGCAGGCGCTCTTCCCCGTCCGCCTCACGGTCCCCAGCTACCTCGGCCGGCCGTGGAAGGAGTACGCGAGGACGGTGGTGATGGAGAGCACCATCGGCGACCTCATCAGGCCGGAAGGGTGGGCGGAGTGGATGGGCGACCTCGGCCTCAAGACGCTCTACTACGCCGAGTACGCCAACACCGGCCCGGGCGCCGGCACCAGCAAGAGGGTCAACTGGCCAGGCTACCGCGTCATCGGCCAGGCCGAGGCCACGCACTTCACCGCCGGCGTCTTCATCGACGGCATGACGTGGCTCCAGAGCACCGGCACACCAAACGTCATGGGCTTCACCAAATAAATGATCGAATTTCTTCTCTTTTTTTGCAGTGATTTTTTTATGTTTTTGCAGTAGTATGTTGCATGCATGCGATGGTACGTCTGTCATCATGCATTTGCAGCATGCTTTTTTTGGGTTTGTCAGGGAACGGCTAGCTTTTTTTAGCTGGAAGCTCCTGTGCACGCATGCACGGTGAATAGGGTGATCTATGTTACTAGTGTACGTGGAGCTAGCTTGAGAGGAATAAAATATCAGTCAGATGAGAGCGGGACTGTGAGAGAAAGACAGCTTAAGAAAGAATTAAGCAAGTTCAGGATTACCTTTTTGTATTCTATTATTAGAATGTTAACATTATATTAATTCCACTGGTTTTTCCATGTACGTTTAGCTTATTTAATTTAATTTGCAAGAGTTTAACTATGTATAGTTATATTATGGAGGGGAGATTATTCATGATTTGCCACAATACCTACTATATATTTGTGCCATTTTAGGATAAATCAATTATAATCTGGCCTCAAACTCACAAATGCACCTAGTCTCTGAGCTTAATATTTTCTGTATATAGATTAAATTAACAATGACAATATGTTTGTTGGAAAAACAACACCGATAATAACACTAACATTTCAAAAATTAAAGAATACAGGAGGTTTCAAACCCATTAAAATGATGTATGGACATGAAAATAATGATTTCATAAAAACATCAAAAAATACAAAATGCACTAAAATTCCAGAGTAATCAAAATGATTGGTAATTACAAAATTATATAGGCCCACCTAGAATTAGGGCTGCTACTTCATAATAACCCATCGATTGCAAGCGGTTGTGCATGCATACACGGTGAATATAGGTACGGTGACCAGTGATCTATACATGTGCAGCTTGAGGAGAGGTGAAGAAAAACAATGTATGTATATAAATTAAGTATCAGGTGAGAACGAAAGAGAAAGATTGCTCAAAGAATAATTTAATCAACAGGCTCAAGGTTACATTTTTTACATTCTATTAGAACGTTGACATTATATTAATCCTACCAGGTTGTTCATGTATATGTCTAATTTCTTTTGCAAGAGTATATCTATAATATGGACGGGAAAGTCTTGATCTGCCACAATGCTATTTCTGCCATTTTCTAGAAAAAAAACATTCCTAAACTTGTGTCAAACTCACAAATACTTTGGAATCTTGATTCTTGAAGAACCGGAACAGGTGACCAGTGGGGCTTGTGAACAGGAGCCTAAAATTTTTCTTTTCCCACGAACCTCTCGAGTCTCGAGCAACGCTAGCCAAGTACTCCTAGTCATGGCAGACTACAACCCTATAAACTAGGCTAGAAGGAATTTATAAAATATAGTCATTATATATACTTTTATGAATAATAAAGAGATAAAGTTGAGCACTTTCATATTTTCAAACTCAAAACAAAAGTTGTTCTTTATAGTTTTAGTTTAAAGACTTTGACCTAAGAAAAATCAAAACGACTTGCTTTAGAGAACCGGCCGTACTGTCGTATCATGGCAGACTATTTATATAAACTAGGCTAGAAGGAAGTGGAAGCTATTATAGATGAATAATAAAGAGGAAGTTGAGTATTGCCATGTCAAAACAAGTTGTTCTGTAGTTTTTAGCTTGCAGACTTCAGAAGAAAAATGTCGAAACCCAATCAAATGACCTCCAAAAATCATGATATTTTTCCCTAAAAAAATCATGATATTTTGTTGAGCGCTCCACAACTTCATAAAGATCATTTCCACAAGATATCTCTTCAAAATATGGAAGTTCACCAAACCGGCCCGGCCTGTTTGAGTTCAGCCCGGTGAGATAAGGAATAGCAAAACTTGATCAAACAAACTCCACAAATTACGAAATTTGATTGAGGTGTTCACAACGTCATCAATATTACTCTCCACCAAAAATCACTTCAATTGGAGCAAGTCACCAAAACCGGCATTTTGCCTAGAAACAACGAGCTCCTCCCCAAGAAAAATCTAAAGTAGATCCAAATAGTTCCTTGAATTGTGAAACTTTGCACACACCTTTCCTAACACATGCCGTAGGTGTTCCCAAGAGATTTTACTAAAAATATTGAACTTTCCTCACTAATTTCATGAATATCGAGAAAACTAAAGAAAAGGAGACACTTCAAATTCATGGAGCTCAGTGAGGGATTTGTTAGGGAATCACCTTAGACTTGCTCAAGTATGTACTAGCACAAAATCCCTGAAGAAATAGGATCCAAATCGTAGTAAAATCATATATGAATGAAAAATCCAAAAAACAGCTCTAAATTTTCCAAAAGAAGATAAAAGGTCAAGACTCGAGGGAGATGAAGTTTATTTAACTCAAGCTGCTAGAATTGGGGCACTCTAACCTCCATAGTAGATTGGAATTCGGAATACCTTCTAAAGCAAACTGACAATCACCACACTTCCAACACAATGTGATTTTCAGAACAAGCCTAGCATTGTGTGTGTGTGTAGGGGGGGGGGGGGGGAGCACTCACTAGTGGGCGCTAGGGGCCTAGTAATCTTCCTATCAATGAGCATTGAAACTTAAATCGACTTAATTTCCATAACTAATATACTTTAATAAAACCTCATATTTAGTAAGTCGTCCCAATTAGGAGAATTTGTAGTTTTAAATTTGATTTGGAACAACCTAATAAATAAAACTATTTATACCATGATATCAATTTATAAGTGCTATTTTGACTTTGGGTGCTCAGGGGCAGATCCCAAAGGAAGAGGAAGAAATGAGGAAGCATGGGGTTGACGAACCCCTATGCAGCATTCTCCATTGCACTAAGTTCGGATTCATCAAAGTAAGTTTCTAATATAAGTTCAGACAAAAGTTCAAACAAAGAAATGACCAAAGTAGGAGATCAAAATATCAAATTTGGTGGTAAATGTGCCATTCCATTTTGTATGAGGTTATTTTTCTAAGCTAGTGGACCAATTATATAAATAACCTTATGACTTTTCCAACCAAAATTTACATAATTCTTCTTCTTTTTGTCAAATAGAGAATTTCTTTTTTACTATTTTGGATTTGACTTTCTTGTCCTATCGAGGGAATTGCATATGCCGTAGACTAAAAAATATACGTTCTCACAAATATCAAGTCAAACTAAACTACATATACATATTTCTTTTTTTACTATTTTGGAGTATATAGATTTTCAGGACAACTTTTTTTTTGCCAGCAGATACTATCTTTAAGAAATTGTCAAATCTAATGTTAGCTAGAATGCATCCCTAGGAGTACTAGTAGTACTAATAATCACAAAGTATTTTTATCAATATATCTCATTTTTTCCAATTTTAAAGAAATATATCTTCATATCATCTAATCTAATTAATGTCCGTTATTACATAAAGATATTATTAGTGATATTAATAAAAAGATCCTTTCTTCATTTCGTCAATTCCATTCATTTCTTTAATTTCTATAAATAAATCAAATCTCCTCCTTCGTGCACACCATCTCCAACAAGCTACTAGGAGTATATTCAACGCTTCAATAATACGAAAAAAAAACAGGAAACGAAAGCTGGAAATTGAAGTCCTGGTCGGCGCTGCTGGCCTTTCTGGTTTCACCTCCTATTTTCGTCAGTTCCGTTCTTGTTTTCCGCCGTTTCATCATGGACTAATTAAGCTAAGCCAAACTGCTGGATCCCCTTCTTCCTTGAAAACCGCATCACCTTCAGGTTTCTGCACCTCCATCAATCCCATTCTTCGTCTCGCCATTATCCAGCCTCCAGAGCTCTAGATCCTTTGGTTGCAATTGCGGTGCCGTTGATCGAGCCGCGCGTGCGCATGTGCACGTGAGCGCGGACGACGCAGGCGGCAGGCTAGCGCGCGCCCTCGCCGTCGCGACGTGATCCGGCGATGGGGTGCGCAACCTCCACCGAGGCGCGGCGCGACATGGTGTGGGTCGGCGCCGACGCCCGCGCGCGGCGGAGCTTCTCGCTGCCCTCCGTCGACCGCCAGCGGCTGCGGCTGAGGGCTGTGTCGATGCTCGGCACCCTCGGCCTCGCCGGCAGCGCCCGTTACTCGGGCACGTGCAGGCACGCGACGCTGTCGGTGGAGGAGATGATGAAGAGCGACAGCGACCACGCCGCGGACGCGGTGCTCGTCGGCGACGACGCGGCGAAGCGGCCCCTGACCCTGAAGCCCCACACGCCGACGCTGACGCCGCCCAACGAGCCCGAGGTGATCAACGCGTGGGAGCTCATGGCGGGGCTCGAGGACGACGTGCCGACGCCGCGCGCCACGTACAAGAGTCTGCCACTCGATGAGTCGCCGCAGGAATTCGCCTCGGCGCCGCCGCCGCTGCCGCAGTGGATGCAGGCCGACATGGACATGCCCGTCGCCTTAGACTTCGACCCGGAGGTACTGTCCGGATTCCGGGAGGCTCTAGAGGGCACGCAGCCGTCGTCGGATCCTGCGGTTGTCTCGTCCGCCGAAGACGAGACACCCAGGGAGCAGGAGCGGAAGGACAGGAAGGACGCGGACGCATGTGACATGCCAATGTCTCCGCCCACCGGCGACATGCCGGAGCTTTCCGGCCTTGTCCGTGCCCGCATCATCGCGTTCCAAGAGAAGATCGAACGGAGACGAGGCAAGGGCCGCGACGCCAAGGTGTCGCCGCTGTGGCCGCCGGGTGGCGAGCGGAAGGTGGTGGTGTACTTCACGAGCCTCCGCGGCGTGCGCAAGACGTTCGTGGACTGTTGCGCCGTGCGCAGCATCCTGCGCAGCTACGGCGTGCGCCTGGACGAGCGCGACGTCTCCATGAACGCCGTCTTCAAGGCCGAGCTCGCGGAGCTCCTCGGGCCAGGTTTCGCAGGCGCCGCGCTCCCGCGCGTGTTCGTCGACGGCCAGTACCTCGGCGGCGCCGAGGACGTGCACTTCCTGCACGAGGCGGGCGAGCTCGGGCGCGCCCTGGAGGGGTGCGAGGCCGCGCCCTCGCGGAAGCTCGGGTACATGGAGGCGTGCGCCACCTGCGGCGACGTCCGGTTCGTGCCGTGCGAGACGTGCTACGGCAGCTGCAAGATCTTCGTCGAGGACGACGACGCGGGCTACAGGTATCACGACGTCGGCGAGTTCCGGCGGTGTCCCGATTGTAATGAGAATGGCCTCGTCAGATGCCCCGTTTGTTGCTGCTGATGCTTGTGCTGCGTACGCTATGGTAGATTAGTTGTTTTTTTTTGGTCTGTACTCTGTAGTTTGTACAGTGTGGAGAGCATTATAACATAATTTTGATAGGAACAGGACCCTTATAATAATTCCGTGCCTAGTGCCTACACTGTTTTTCATGTGTGAAAATAAAGGAATTCCAAGAGAAACTGCTCAGCTTGTTGATGATCCTAAAAACTGTTGAAAAGGGGATGGACATTTTTGCTCGGGCATCAGAAACATTATATTCGTAATAGAACACTTTTCTAGGGGAGAACAATGTTTGGTCATTGTCATTCCAGATTACAGATTTCTCCAGCTGCAGTCAAACTAAGTGGCCTTTTCATCATGAAGGGTAAAATGGTCAGTAGTTGCAAGGATTGTTGATTGATAAACAAAATCTGAATAACATCTGATAACCGGACCATAAACAAACGAGAGGCATACCAAGAGGGAAATAAAGTCAAAAGAAAAGGAGCTAATCCACCGATGCGAGGGAAGGCAGTACTCAACAGCAATGCAAGAATATGAAATGAGCACAAAGTCAGAAACGTGAATGCACGATCACTTGACTCCATTTGCAATAATCAAACTTATCAGAGCAAACAGTTTGTTCTAAACGCACTGTTCGTCTCCTTTTAATTTATACAACACTGTTGTCTGCTATAAATATACATCGAACAACATCACTTGAAGTATCGTATTAAGGTGTTCGTCCTCCTGTTTAGTAACTGAAGGATGGATTGTATATTTATTTTTCACTTAACTCTGCCTACCATGAGCGGCCAGATCTGCCGCGGCCTTGGCAGCCCTAGTAAGAGCATCAGACAACATCATGGCTCCTGCAGAGAAGTAGCTGCTGGTGACAATGCCATTTACCACCTTAGCCGCCGTTCTTCCAGTGGCAGTAGCAACCGTCTTGGTTGTCTCTGTAACGTGATATGTCTCGTCGACTGATCGCATCGCACCAACACCAGCATTGACCCTGTCAGTTAAACCGATTCTCTTGCTCAGCTCTGCAGCCCTGGCTGCAGCTGCAGCTGTTAATCCATAGGACTCATCAAAGGCTTTAGCCTTAGCCAAAGCATCCTTGCTGAGCACGTACCCCTTTGCTAGCATCGTCTTCATGACATCTTGAGCCACTGTAAAAGCTTCCTGCGGAGTAGTGTTGTACTGGCATGTTTGGTAGTTCTGTTCATAAAAAATTAAACATCAGCCCTACATTTGGGATTGGGAGAACAAGGATTATTTTGAGAATCTAGACTAGTTTATCTTAAAATGTCCATGCTGGAATGAGATAAGCTTCCTTCTTTTTTCCTCAGTTCTTATCACTGTGCATCTCTAAAGTGTGAAAACCACATTTTAACTCATCCGTCATGTAACAGAAAGATGAGCATAACCAGGTGATTGGGTAAGTTACATGGCAAAAAAGTTATATTGCCACTTATGCAAAAGAGCATCTGCGCTTATTAACACCAAGGACGCCACTCCAAGCAGCTAAATTAGCATGATTGGTGTGATGCAAATCATGTGTGTGACTAGAGATAATTTGCTTCGACGCCAATCCACTAAATCCAATAAATTGTCATATAATGAGAAAACTGGTTGCTCAAGGCAGAAATGAATTCTATTCACAAAAATGCTTCCTTGTCCTAGTTGACTACTATTAACTATGCAGAAAATTAGTAGAATGGCGAGATGCATACCCTGTATTCGATTTCCTCTTCAGTCTCCCAAGTTGGCCTGTCCCAGAAATTAAAAGTCTCCTCAGGTTGTCCCCAATAAGTTATGCATACCGCCTGATCCACAATAGTAGCCCCCTATCGAAGATGCAAAGTGTTGTCAGGGGCACAACAAAAAAAAAAAAACAAGGTACTTGCTACCCAGGAGACTTGTTGATAAAGTGGTTCGGTAAAGAAGTATACGGGCATACGGCCAGCATCCAGGTCACTCCAAAGCAAAGCACAAACTGAATTATGTCAAACTGAAAAGATTGGGTTTCACTACCCAAAGATGTACACAATCTTGAAGTGTGTACAAGACTGACATTGCACTTTTTTCCCGGGGGTGGGGGGTCAATATCCATTAAAGAATTGAGATAGTTTGGATAGAGATGAATGGGACATCACATGTAAAATTGCATGTGTACTTAAAGCTTTAGGGCCTCTTCGGTATAGAAGGAGAAACTTAATCTAAAAGAATTTTTCCTCTGAATGGTGTACACACTAAAGAGAGGCTCAAGAACTTTCTTGTTTTATAGGAAAATCATTTTTGAAACTTAATCTAAAAAGAATTTTTCGTCTGAATTGTGTACACACTAAAGAGAGGCTCAAGAACTTTCTTGCTTTATAGGAAAATCATTTTATCAGTAAGTCAACTGAGAGAACATGAAGCCATCATCGGTATCAGGCACATCAAGAGTGGTACATTTAATTTCTGTGGAAAACATTGTTGTCAAAAAAGACAACTTACACTGAGCAATACTGCAGTTTCCAAGGCAAAGCGTTCCTTGAATGTCACATAAGCAGTGGCACCATAATCTTCTGATCTGTAGTGTTTAAATTCACCATGAAGTTGATGACAAGGGCGTGTCATAAAACAAAATTTTGAATTGTGAGCCAGGGTACTCCAGAGATAAGATCATTCTATGAGGTAAATTTATAATAAGCATGGTATGTCAATAGTTGTTCAACGCACGGATATCAAAATAACAAGCATAGTTTTTTGTGGACCAAATATTTTTTTTACCAAGAATGTTTGAGTGGGCAGAATATGCCACAGATAACAATTATCCTTTTCTGTTAACAAAGTTAAGATGTCATTTATCTACTATATGAAAAGTGAGTGAGATACATACAATTTGCTTTCTCTAAAAAAAACGAGAGAGAGAGAGAGAGAGTAAAAAAAACACCTGATAAGTTCTATGTGCTCAATAGGACCAGAGAACGAAAAGAACTCATGAAGATCACTTTCAGATACTCTGCTCGAGAGGTTAGTGACTTGTACAGTGTGCCCTGTTTCAGTCATGATTCTGGAAGTCATCAAACAGAAAAAGTCAAAATTTTAGTATTTCCTGTGATATACATGTGAAATTGGATAGGCACAGTAGTTTTTGACTTTAGTCAGTAGGATTTGTAACATCATTACAAGCACCAAGTAGTTTCTGCTTGTGTATCTCATTGCAAAGAACCTTTAGGTTGACCTTATTGTATCCTGTCTATAGCTACTGTCCTAAATAGGGTGTATAAGGGTTACAGATTATGCAAACGGAAACTAAATTGAACAGGTCTGAATAGAACTAGGCCACAACGTAACTCAACACAGAAAGGGAAATTAAAGGGGAAAATTGGCTGAGTACCATTAAAAGATGTCAACTTTAGCAATCTATCATTAAAAGATCACCTCTTTGCAATCTAGCACCGAAAGGTCACCACATTATTGGTTTCTACCATTCCATGACCTTTGCTAACGTTCCGTGCATCTCCGTTAATCGAGTCGTCTTCTTCCGAAGCTCTTCCCTCGTCTAACTCAACCTCGCAGCTCCTAGCCTCGCACTCGACGCGGTCGAGGGTCGTCAAGGACTTGGAGAGCGCGAGGCCCACCCGGCGCGGTGCCCCCGTAGTCGAGCTCGGCTACGACCCCACCAGAGAACGACGGCGGCAGCGTGCCCAGCACTGCCCCGTGTGCTTGCCGAACTCAATCACGCGGTCCCTCACCGGCCGAGATGACGGCGCCGGCGGAGGCGTGGGTGCCGGTCCCGCTCTCTGTGGCCTGGCGCGGCACCAGCACCGGTGCACGCGAGGATGGGTGGCGGAGACGGGGGCGCCGGTACCTTCGCATCGGCTGCTCACTGTTAGCGGCCCATCTACGGCAGCTACTTCAGAAGAAGCGGCCCAAGTGCCTCGGACTGGAACACGCGCTCGCCGGCCCAACGTGCGTCTAGCTGGCGCTGAGTGGTTGTGAGTCTGCCTGCGAGCACCGTCGGGCGAAAGCCTTGTAAATAGACGCTACCAGAGAGAAGGGAGGATTAGGAAGAATTTTGTAACCAGACTCTAAACTCTCAAGCACTCATCCTTCCTGCCTTTCCTTCTTGCCTGATTTCTATGCTGTTCGTCTGATCCTTTACCCAATTTGCTTCTATTTCCTGCCTACTGCTGACAATTGGTATCAGAGACACTGATTTTGGGTTTCCACATCGATCCGCTTTTACTCCATCGGTTGATTTGAGCAAGTGATCCGGTTGGCTCGATCTCGTTTCTAGCAGTGAGCTGCTGCTAGGGATTTGGTCGCCGTAATTCCCTTCTCCGCTTGAATCGACTTGTGGTTGCGGTAGATCTGGATCGTCCCCAACCTTTAGCCCACGACCACTTCACCCGACGACAGCACCGACTGGGAATCATGAACCCGGAGACCAAAATCATCCTCGAAGAGATCAACCGCCGTTTCAACGAGCATGACCAGAAGTGGGATTCGCGTTTTGCGGATCAAGATGCGCGCCTCTCTCGCCAGATCCGGGACTTCGAGCAGGCGCAGGAGGGGCGCATGGCGGCTCTGGAGAAGGTCACCGCGTCGCTCGATGAGTGGCGGCCGTCGATTGAAGGCATCGTTGACGACATGAAGCTCGACATCTCGAAGTCCAAGTTGGAGGTGTCGAAGATCTCTCGCAACTGGGAGCGGGCGATCCTGGAGCAACCGGCTTACCACGCCGGGCGTCTTTGCCGCCGTTCCGTCAGTTGTCGAGCGTCCATTCATCAACGCTCCAGCAAATCTGCCCAATGGGCACTACGTCAACAATCACCACCGGGAGAGTGGATTTGGGGTAGTTTCTACCCTGATTCATTCCCCGGTCAAGGGTATGCCACCATTCCCCACTCCTCCCTCCCCGAGATCTGTTTTCCAGTCTACTGATGATCCTGGGGTTCGTAGTGGTACCACCGGGGTGGGGCATAATGGGTTCCAGCCACCCAAACTTCCTAAATTTGATTTTCCTAAGTTTGACGGATCCCAACCTAAATACTGGCTTAGTCAATGCAAGGATTACTTTGATCTATATGGTACTGAACCTCACATGTGGGTTAGGGTCGCAAAAATGCATTTCACACACGCTGCTAAGCGTTGGTACCCTTCTGTTGAATCCCAGCTCCAATCCGCTACTTGGCCTACTTTTACTCGTTTTGGCCAGGATGAGCATGAGCTTTTGCTTAGACAACTTTTCCAAATCCGTCAAACTAATTCTGCTCAAGAGTACATAGACCAATTCATTGCTATCGTCGATGATTTATCAGCTTATGGTGGTACCACAGACCCTCTCTACTATGCTATGAGATTTGTTGATGGTTTGAAAGATTATATTAGAGCTGCAGTGGCTTTGCATCGTCCCCAAAATCTGGATACTGCTTGCCTTCTTGCTAAATTACAGGAGGAGGTTGCTGATCCGGCCAAGAAGAGGGACTTCCGCCGTGCAGAACATCCGGCGGGGCCCCATCCGTACGCTCCGCGGGCGCTTCCTCTACCTCCACCACCTCCCCGTCTTGCACTCCCGGCCGCCGAGGTGAAGCCGGTTGTGGACGCTGGGCGTGGCCCTACCTTGGATGAACGCTGGTCCGCTCTCCGCACGACCCAGCGTGCTCAAGGCCTCTGTATGAGGTGTGGTGGCAAATGGAGTCGTGATCATCAATGCCCTGCTGCCGTCCAACTACATGTCGTTCAAGAGCTGCTGGATGTTTTTCATGAAGCCACTCCTATTGAAGCTGCGGATTCAGTTCAGGAAACAGAGCCAGAGCAGTTGTTTCTCTCTTTATCAATGGCAGCGGTAACTGGAATGGTTCAACTGTGCACTATGTGTTTTTGGGGCCTCCTTGGCGATCAACATGTTAAAATTCTGCTTGATTCGAGTAGTTCCCATACTTTTATCCGCTGAGCTGTTGCTTCGGGATGTCCAACTCTGCAACAGTTGCCTCTTCCCTTGCAAGTCCAGGTCGCTAATGGGCAGGTACTCACTTGTTCTTCACACGTTCCTAATGCCAGTTGGTCTATACAGGATTGTCAGTTTTCTTCAGATTTGAAGGTTCTTCCATTGTCCTCTTATGACATGATCTTGGGTCTGGATTGGCTGGAAGCCCATAGTCCGATGGCAGTCCATTGGGGTCAGAAGTGGATTCAGCTCCAACATCAGGGCATTACTGTTCAGTTAGTGGGTATTCTGCCGGATCTGACAGCTGAAGCAGTTTTACAGCTATGTTCTCTTGATCATCAGCAGCCTTCTGATCCTCCTGCTTATCCTGTCGAAGTTCGGCAACTGATACAAGATTACTCGGGGTTGTTTGATCCGCCAAATCAGTTGCCTCCTTCTCACAACTGTGATCATTCAATTCCCCTAGTTCCTGGTGCAGCTCCGATCTATTCTCGTCCTTACCGTTTCTCCCCAGCTATCAAGGATGAGGTGGAGAAACAAGTCAAGGACATGTTGGCCTCAGGTATTATTCAAAAGAGTACCAGCCCATTCTCTTCGGCTGTACTGTTGGTCAGAAAAAAGGACAATACATGGAGGTTCTGTGTCGATTACCGGCAATTGAATGCTATAACAGTCAAAGGCAAATATCCAGTACCCATAATTGATGAGTTTCTAGATGAGTTAGCTGGAGCTTCTTGGTTTTCTAAACTCGATTTGCGCTCGGGTTTTCACTAGATTCGGTTGAAGCCCGGTGAAGAGTTCAAAACCGCATTTCAAACTCATTTTGGCCAGTTTGAGTTCAGAGTCATGCCGTTTGGCCTTACGGGAGCACCTGGAACATTTCAAGATGCCATGAATTCAACTCTGGCTCCTTTTCTCCGGAAATTTGTCTTGGTTTTCTTCGATGATATCTTGATCTTCAGTCCATCCTATGAGGAACATCTTCACCACCTGCAGTTGGTTTTCAGCAGCTTCAAGCTCATGACTGGAAGATCAAACTTGCTAAATGTGAGTTCGCCAAGCAAAGTATTGCATATCTCGGCCATGTCATTACTCCAGCAGGGGTTACCACTGATCCTCAGAAAGTAGCGGCTGTGGTTAATTGGCGTACTCCCCAGCCAGTTAAAGATTTGCGCAGTTTTTTGTGTTTAGCCGAGTATTACAGAAAATTTGTCCGCAATTTTGGTGTCATTGCAAAACCGTTGATCGAGCTACTTAAAAAGAACACCTTGTTCATCTGGACTTCTTCACACGATCAGTCATTCCAAGCTCTAAAGCACGCCTTGAGTTCTTCACCAGTTCTTGCTTTGCCTGACTTCTCCAAGCCATTTAGCATTGAGACGGATGCTAGTGCCAGTGGTATTGGTGCTGTTCTTACTCAGGAGGGTCATCCCTTGGCGTTTCTCAGCAAAGCATTGGGACCCCGTTCTCGTGGCCTGAGTACTTATGAGAAGGAATACATGGCAGTTTTGATGGCCGTTCAACAGTGGCGTTCTTATCTACAACATGCTGAATTCACCATTTTTACTGATCAGCAGAGCCTTGTCCAACTTACTAACCAGCGTTTGCATACGTCGTGGCAGCAGAAGCTCTTTTCTAAGCTCGTTGGTCTCCAATTTCGCATTGTATACAAGCCAGGTGCTGCAAACCAAGTAGCTGAAGCTTTGTCTCACAAGAGTTTCCATGATTCATCATGTGCTGCTATTTCTGTGGTTGCCCCTACTTGGATACAAGAGGTGGTGTCAGGGTATGCGGCTGATCCTATGTCATCAGAGATGATAGCCAAACTCACCATTGATTCTGCAGCCGTGCCAGGATTTTCTCTACGAGATGGTGTTCTCCGTCAGGGAACACGTATTTGGATTGGGGACAACAAGGTACTGCAGCTGAGAATTCTCCATGCCATCCATGCCAGTGCTTTGGGGGGTCACTCTGGATTTCCGGCAACATACACTCGGTTGAAGCAGATATTCCAGTGGCGTGGCATGAAATCTGCTACCCGAGACTTCGTTCAAGCTTGTATTACTTGCCAACAGGCTAAGCCCGATCGAAGTCGTTTGCCTGGTCTTCTTCAACCTCTGCCAGTACCTGTCGCTGCTTGGCACACTATATCTTTGTATTTCATTGAGGGGCTGCCCCGCTCTGGTAATGTTAACTGTATTCTCGTTGTGGTGGATTCCTTCACTAAGTATGGCCATTTCCTGCCCTTGCTCCATCCGTTTACAGCTGCTGTGGTGGCTAAGCTATTTCTCAACAATATTTATCGCTTGCATGGTCTGCCAACTGCCATTATCTCTGATAGGGATCGTATTTTTACCAGTCAATTTTGACGTGAGCTATTCCGTTTGGCCGATGTCTCTTTGCAGATGAGTTCAAGTTACCACCCGCAGTCTGATGGTCAGACCGAGCGCCTCAATCAGATCATGGAGACATTCTTACGCTGTTTTGTCAATGCATGCCCGGCCAAATGGTCTTCTTGGATTGCTTTCGCGGAATTTTGGTACAATGCTTCCCCTCATTCTGCACTTGGCTATTCTCCTTTTGAAGCTCTTTATGGCTACCCACCCCGTCATTTTGGAATCTCTGTCCTGGATGATGTGGCTGTACCTGAACCGTCTTCTTGGCTTCAAGATCGTCAAGTTATGACTGATTTGATCCGTCAGCACTTAGCTCGAGCCAAACAACGTATGAAACGTCAAGCTGACAAGAAACGCTCTGAACGTCAATTCAGTGTTGGTGATATGGTGTTTGTTAAGCTCCAACCTTATGTTCAATCTTCTCTGGCCCCTCGATCTAATCAGAAGTTATCCTTCAAGTTCTATGGTCCATTCCAGATCATGGAGCGCATTGGTCAGGTGGCATATAAGTTGCTTTTGCCCAGTTCAGCTGCTATCCACCCGGTGTTTCATGTTTCCCAATTGAAAGATGCGGTTCTTCCTCGTGTCCGGTATCTCCATTCTTACCAAATGACATTGAGTTGCCTCGGGTTCCTATGGAAGTTTTGCGATGTCGTGTCATGCCCATCGCTAATGGTTCGGTGGAGCAAGGCCTCATCCTCTGTCCAGGCCGGCCATCGACATGGCAACTCGGAGAAATTTGTTTGCTTGTGTCAAGCCTTTCCCGTAGCTCTTGCTTGGGGACAAGCGAGCTTCAAGGACCGGGGGTGTTAGCGGCCCATCTACTAAGGCACTACTTGAAAGCGCGCCCAAGTGCCTCGGATCGGAACACGCGCCACCGCCCAACGTCGCGTCTAGTCAAGGCCGAGTGGTTGTGAGTGTGTGCTGAGAACCACCGCTCGGGCGAAAAGCCTTGTAAATAGACGCTACCGAGAGAGAGGGAGGATTAGGAAGAATTTTGTAACCAAACTCTAAACTCTCAAGCACTCATCCTTCCTGCCTTTCCTTCTTGCCTGATTTCTGTGCTGTTCGTCTGATCCTTTACCCAATTTGCTTCTATTTCCTGCCTACTGCTGACACTCACATACCGCCGCCACCGCACCCAGTGTGTCGTCGCCATGGCTAGATCCGGCAAGGTGTGTTGCCGCCGGCGCTGTTTAACCACACGTGTTTTATCTGCCCATGTGGTTTCTACGCTCATGCTCCCACTTGACTCTGCTTTGCAGTTCTTCGTCGGAGACTCAGAGGCAACTGGCGTTGTTGACGTCGTCCTTGCGCGGAGCAGGTGGTCGGCCGGGCTCCTGCCAACCCTGTCGAACCTCTTGGACGAGTCCACGTCCACCGTGAAGACGGCGCGGACGGGGCGGTGGTCCGACAGCAGGGACTCGCAGCGGCAGTACCGGGTCTGCCTGAGCCCTGCGCCGCATCACAGGATGCGGTCGCACCACGTTAGCGCGCGCCGCTTGTTACGGACGCCGTGGCCCCCGGCGGCGGTGGCGCAGCCATAGTAGGCGTCGGAGTTGGGTAGTACTTGTAGGTCGAGGAGAAGGTGATGGGCCCCTCGCTCCTGCCCTGGAACGCGCCGCCGCGGCACACCTCGTGTACAGCTGGTCGTTCTCCAGCAGTGTCTTCCAGTCCTGGCGCTCCACCAGCAGCCTCACCGCGCTCTCCAAGTCCTCGAGGACCCCGTTTACGTCGACTGCGTCGACCGGGAGCTGCGAGGTTGAGTTACACGAGGAAGACATTCCGAAGAAGATGACTAGAAGAACGGAGATACACGGAACGTTAGCAAAGGTCACGGAAGTGGTAGAAACCAATAAAGTGGTGACCATTCGATGCTAGATCGCAAAGAGGTGATCTTTTAACGATACATTACCTAGGAAACGCAACAATAGGCACACAATCCGATCAATCCAGGCCCTCCTCTGACAAACCGACACAGAAATCCGACGCGCCAGTCGCCAGAGGGAAATCACCCCTGAAGCAACCACAAATGAACCCAAAATCACAGCAATTCAGGGCAAGGCGAGCGAGGAAGCAGCCTTACTCTTCTCTTCCCGTCGACTCCTGGCGCCTGGCGCCCCACCCAGCTCGGCAGTCGGCACCGCTAGGTTTGGCGAGGCTTCCCGCACCAGCACCCGCACTCCACCCACCGCACAAGCGCAGAGTGGCCCGTCCAAATCGCTTGATGAGCCCGTCGGCGCGGCGTTTAGTGGCGTGTGGGGCAAGGGCGCGACCTCGATCTCCCACCCACCTACTGTACTAATCTACCGGGGTTCACTTCCGCACACGCCCGCGCACACAGGATTGCCCCTTCCCCCTCGGCAGTTGGGAGTTGGGACGAGGGGGCACGACGCCAGGTGAGAGGACGGTGGGGGTGGCGTGGCGGCCTCGAGATCGGAGTAGGTAGTGGACTGGCAGTCTGGCACTGGTCACTTGGTCAGTGGACTATTGGGCCACGGCTCCGACTCCCAAGCGCTTTGGACGTGCGGTGTCGGCGCCTCGGCGGGCAGTTGTGGTTGGGCTCGTCAAAGGAAAAGGGCTCTCTTTTGGGCTCGACCGTTTGTGGGCTGGTGAAGGATCCTGGGCCTTGATGAGTTTCAGAAGCCTTCGTATGATTCATTCGAAAACGTTCCATTCCCTTTTCAAAAAAGAAAGAAAGAAAGAAAAGAAAACGTTCCATTCCACCGTCTTGGCGCGTTTTTCGCGTTCCATTTTTGGTCGCGATTGTGGAGAAACTGAAGAAGCAGTCTAATTGAATGAAGGCACGGGGTGGGCGGCGAGCGCCATGTACATGCAGCGTGCGTACGTGAGATCGCATCGCATGTTCTACGTAATTAATCTGGGCGCGACCCATCGACGTTAACGTACATGGATGGCGGCGTCACGTGGGCAATTCCCCGGCCCGGATCTGCATGCACATGCACGTGGTGCCTGTACGTGCTAGCTTATGATTACTCTCTATCTACGTGGTACACTGGGACTGGGACGGTAAATATGGCATAATCATGAAACCAACGCCGGGATACTTTCGCTTCAATTGGTGCCGGCCTTTTCACAAGCCGTAGCCGGCCGGGGGCGGGGACCCTGACGGATGACCCCCCGTGTGCTTAAGCAAATTAATAAGGCCTCGGAGGGACGAAGGTTTATCGAGGCCGACGACGGTGTATTGTGACTTGCGATCGAGTCGTGGCCGTACGTTTGCTTTATTTCAAACCAGCGGCGGATGCAGGATTGGACATAGCAGGCCCGGCTCTAGGGGAGGGCAGCCGGTGCGACCGCCCGGGGCCCAAGGAGCTAGGGGCCCAATAGCATATAGGTAATTAATAGATATAATTTCTTATTTGGCATTAGCTTTCAAAGGCCGAACAAACATCAGTCCATGCCGCACCATACCTACCTATTTCTATTCTGCCGCGCAGGCCGCGGATCGAGCGAGGAGCTAGCGTTCGTTTTCCGCCGGCGCCGGCGCTTCCTGTTCTTGCTCATCGACGTGGACGCGCTATTCTTGCGTGGAGACGCTGACTCACCCGACGTGGACGTGGACGGCGCGAGCTGCAACTGCATGCAAGGACGGCGAACAGCAGATGCGATCACAGTAAGCAACCCCAAAATGCCAATACCCATGACCGATTAGTATTTTCCAATTTTCAATTTTTTACTTGGACCTCTGGAAGCTAGAGACAGGGACATTACCATATTGAAGCCTATTTTTTCTTATTTGTTTAATTGTTTTGTGTATGCGCTTTACTTGTACAGAGGTAGGGTTATAAAGTTCTAATTCAATGTATTTATTTAGATACTTATTAGATGTTGCCTAAGAAGCATTTTTCGGGCGTTCAGAAAAGTAAAATATTGGGAAGAATGTTTTGGACCACATTGATCTTTATATTGTTCTTAAAGATTTTACATCAATAAATGCCTAAAGACGGTTTTTTACGAGGCACTGAAACATTATATTTTTATTTGAGGTAATCATAACAATTATTGTTCTTTTAATTTTCTTGTTGTACTATCGTTATCTTTTATACAAACTAAGTATATGCTGCAAATTAACTTTTATTATTTGGTCTTTACATAGTTCAACGGGTCCTTATTGTCTTGCTTGCCTAAGGGCCCTTAAAATTGTAGAGCCGGCCCTGGGATATAGGGGACTAAATAATAAAGATTTAAGGTTAGAGTTAGAGATTAATAATGATTTGAGGCTAAGTAATCGTAATTTAATGAAAAAAATCAGGCTCACCATGGGGTCAGAGTGCATCCCTTTGATCCGCCGTTTCAAATCGAGGTTTTCTGCGGGTGCGAGGCGTGGGCGGAGCTACAAGTATGCCGGGTATGCACCGACATACACTGCAGGTGTATACGTATTTCCACTCATGAATACACTAGTTTTTCTACTGCCCATACGCCGCGCGGTCCACGATGACACGATTTTTTGAAATATAATCAAAGTTTGGTCAATTTTTGATTTGAGAAAAATCGAGGATTTTTCAAAAAAAAATGATTCTAGGAGCTTGATTTTCGATAAAGTGGAGGTCTTTTTGCAAACAAACCAAAGGCATCCGGTAACATCGTTGATTTGGAAATAATCTTTTTATAAAAAATATGAAGGACGTCTGAGCGTGGGTTGATTTTCGAAAACTTAAAGAGATTTTTTCAAACGACATATCACGTTACTTAGATCGAACATGTAAAAGCCGGCGATGACGTGAATCACATTGTAAACCAAATCATATCTTTAGATGAGAACCGAAATGCAAGCGACATCGGACTCGGGAGGAAATAGAGCCAAAGATTCGAGGCCCACGAATTGAGATCGCCGATCGCGAGTAGAGTCCCCATCGTCGATTGCGTGAGTGGTTTGTCCAATCGTGAATCGTCGCGACGCGCCGACGCCCACGTCTCCCGTCCCGAGTGCCGACGCCGTTCGGCCTTAGCCCTACACCTACGACCGCCCAGGAGCTCCAGACGGCCACTCGGCCAGACTGACTGCACCGCCGGCGGTGACGATGATTGGAAATTCGGAATTGAGGTGAGATTCAATTTAGCTTTTCGAAAAAGATTCATGTCTATTTTAATTAGTATTTGCTAAGCACTAACATCATAAAATCTTCGATCAACTTAATCCTTGAATTTCAACCATATCACGTTACTTAGTACATGTATACCGAATCACATTGTAAATTTTATAATTTTTACCGAAATGCTAAAATAGATTTTCCAAATTAGATATGAAATTTTTTCGGTGGCTTACCCTTAGGTAAAATCCTACATTCGCTATTGTGCAGGGGTGCTGCTTTAATTCTTCAGCTCAATAATAACCAGATCGCTCGAGTACATTGTTTTATGGTGCTGTTGGCACGAAGCGGCACCAAACACAGAAACATTAAACATGCATACGTGCACCCATAGTAGCAGGGCTAGCAGTGCCTGCCTGAACCTGCTGCGACAACCAAACCCTCATGTACTCTCAGGTTTCCTTCGACAGAAGTAACTGTTTATTATTTCATCCGTTTCAAATTATAAAATATTTTTGTATTTTTCTAGTAGTTGTGTCTTATAATTTGGAATAAAGGGAGTAAGTCTTACTCCGTATAATTTAGAATGAAATGAGTACGTGATAAAGGATGACTAGGTTTAGTAGCAAATCAATAAAAAATAATCGTCGGGCTTACATGACAATGAAATGAAAATTGTGCATGTTACCCATTTGTTGATCCGTAGAAGGGTATTCACAACTAGGCTTGGGGGCTCGAGCATAGCTGCATTCTGGGGTAAAGTTTGAACCAAAATGCAACTATATACTACAGATCGAGAGAACACAAGAAATATTTCGAACTTATATCCCATAAAAGACGGACCTTTTTAAGGTCATAACTTACGTATATCTAAGCTTTTAAATTAAGCATCCATATATATATTTCAATCTTCTCGTCGACGAAACCTATACAATATACAATGAAAATACATTATGTCACTACTACAGAAAAACTTAACCGAGGGGTTTGGCAAAGTTACTCGGAGGCGGGCAGCATTTGAACCGCCTCGGTTAATGCCTGGTGATTAACCGAGGCGGGCATTTTTATTAACCGAGGCGGTCACAATCAACTGCCTCGCAAAGTCAAATTACGGAGGCGGTTCCTAAAATCTATTAACCGAGGCGGGCCTCAAAATACCCCCATTTTCGGAGGCGGGCCTCTTATAACGCCCGTCTCGATTAATATGGCCAAGCCCACTCCGATTTAGAAAATCCCACCTCGGCCCGCTTTATCGCTTGGAGTATATATATGGGACTCTAGGGTTTCACTCACTCATTCTCCCTCCTCCCTCTCCATCAGCCCATCAGCCGCGCCCCTTCTCTCTCTCTCACAAACCGACCGATCCCCTCCTCCCTCTCCCTCCCACCACGCCGGCGCCCCTCCTCGCTCACACCATGGCGGCGCCCCCTCCTCTCTCCCTCCCACCATGGTGGTGCAACTCCACCATGGTGGCGAGTGCGGTTCGTCTC